ATATTTTGGATTCATCTATGGTAGATAAGGCCTGAAATTCCTAGGGGATCAAATCCAAAATCGGTTGACCCCCATGTTTTCGGAATTTTGATATTTTCATGGAATCTCTCTTAAGCGCCCATACCACAAAATCTCTGATTGCCACGATTTTGGCTCCGCGAAACCCCATTGGCTAAGAGCCCATACCCAAAAAGCTCTGATTGGTTCAATTTCACCACCGCGAAATTCCATTGGTTAAGAGACCATATGAGAAAACCTCTGATTGGCTCGATTTCGACTCAGCGAAACCCCATTGGCTAAGAGCCCGAATCGAAAAACCTCTGATTGGCTCGATTTCGACTCAGCGAAATCCCATTGGCTAAGAATCCGTATCCGAAAAACTCTGATTGGCTCGATTTCACCTCCACGAAATCCCATTGGCTAAGAATCCATACCCGAAAACCTCTGATTGGCTGAATTTCGGCTTCGCCAAATCCCATTGGCTAAGAGCCCATATCGGAAAACCTCTGATCGGCTCCATTTGCGCAGCTTGTTTTCTGCTTTTTCACCGAGAAATCTAGAAAAGGTCAAAAGAACATTTTTTTGTTCTGTGCGAACGAACGAACTTACCTCATTTCGGCGTATGACCCACCTTTCAGTAGAGGGAACAAGTTTTTAGCTCAACCGGATGAAAAGTTTTTGTCGAGCATAAAAAACATGATAAAACCATTTTTAGATTTAGTTATCGCGTTTTTTTTCTACTCCATTTCTAGTTCGAACGAAATAATTTTTTCACGCACTCAAGTTTATGGGCTCACCATTTGTTTCAGCTAGTTCGTCATTTTAAAATACTTTCATAAGTTGACAACACCAATGATCTCCGTATAATTACTAATTTATGAGAAAATTTTTCGACAATGAATTTCCAAAGAATTCAATTTAATTTATGGAAGTCTAGTTTTAAGGTACGCTAGACTATAATGATATGTGTGTTCAATCCAATATTTGCATTTTGGAAACTAAAACTTGAGAGCATGTCTTTCTCGTTGTCCGCTGTACTCTAATCAGTATTTTCTTTGTATGACTTCGTATAGTATATGGCGAAATGGATGCATCATTTATACCGACCTAAGTACCATAGCACGATCAGTATTCGTCAAATGTATTAGCATACACTAAACTAAGATCAATAAGTGCTCGCAAATAACCTTACTTACACCAAATGAATCGAAACAGCAACAATACGTCATGGAAGAGATTTAGACTGGGCTGCGATTCGATCTATATTTCCTATAATTCCTATATTTTTGAAAAAGTCCTATTTTTGTCCTACATTTCAATAAAAATTCCTATTTTTCCTATATTTTATTGAAAAACTGGAAGTTTTGTTTTTGTTCTAGTATAGTGTTCATACGTTGAACAACACATATAGTGTGTGGTCATATGTTTTGAACAAACTACTACATTACGATGACATTTTGAAGTAGTGTTGTTCAGTACTGAATGCTCTACAAGGGGGAACAAACTGATTTCTTGATTTCTTGATTTCCGGATTTCTAACTTCATTCTCTTGATTTTTAATGATTTCTCTTGATTTCCAACGATTTCTATTTATTACAAATGATTTCTTATAGTTTCTAAGGATTGGTAAAAACAAAAGCAAAACCCTCAGTTTCTATCGCGTTATTAAGATACGTTTTAGAACACTTATATGATTAGGTAAACATTGTATATATTTAGCTTTTAATACACAAAACAACAGTAAAGCAGTAGGAAATTATATTATTATACACACAACTATTGTTTTTTTACTAATTAATATCAAAAGTTAGAAATAAAAAAAAGTTATGAACTTCTAACACGTGACAGTCTATCAGCAGATAATGAGTTCTTGTCTTTTTGTAAGAGCCAAGTGGCAGTTTGTTTATGTAAATATTTAGTTTGATTGTTAATATTTACTTTAAAATATGTATGTTCACGTTCTGGTGTCACTGTGTCGAATACGCGTATTCCTTGAACACCTGATATATTAGTAACATGAATAGTATCATTGTTTTCATCTAATTCAATCATATCATCACTATCATAACCATTTAAATCATTTAATGTTGTATAATTTATATTAATATCTGAATCATGAGACGAATCTTCGTTTAATTCTATCTCCATCGACCAAAAGACATCCAATTGACGTGAAATAATATCACTCAAATCTTTCAATGTTATTATTTGTCCATGTTGCATAAAATGTTTGATATCCAATGGACTTAAAAGCTGAATTACATATTCATATGCTTTTTGAACGATATCTTCAATATCAGCTTTAGATGAAATTTTAGTATTTGATAAAGTAAAGGGATTGTCTGATGTTTTTGATAGTTTGTGATGTTGTGGAAAACGTAGATAATTCAGATGTTTGTTATTTTTAATTTTTTGTAAGGTTGATAATTTATTTATATGAGAAAGAAATTGTGATATGGTAAAGTTTACACCAGCTGACAAAGCGCTTGATATTGATCTTGCTGATCTGAAAGTACTTTCACATGTTTGAGAATTTTGTAACCATATGTTGAGAGCTTCAATAGGAAGATGTTGTTCAGAAACAAGCATTACAAGATAAAGAAGAGAATGAGCATTGATTTCAACGGAAAAATGAGATTGATATGTGATGAAGTACTGTGATTCTGGTTTAATATTTTTATCAGATTGTATATCAATATCAGATAGCTGTGAAAAAATTGTGTTGAGATTTTGTTTATCCATTTTATTGATCCATAGACACCAAAATCTGAAAATAAATACTGCTGCCCAACCATAAAAAATACGGTCAATGATGTTAGTTGTTTTTTCTATGTAAGCAAGTCTTACACTTTTGATAGCCTATAACAAATAAGATTAAAAAATATTTTATTAGAAAAATTCTAATCATGAATATTCTTTTCTGTGGTACTCTGTTACTTACAGACTAACAATTTAGCTCTAGAGTATATGAAAAGCATTTTTTTAGGTCTACAGAAATGTTCTGAGGATGTCAAGTTATGGTAAGAAAAGATCAGATTATACAGACTTCTCATATATTTTATTCAGTTCAATCTTATATATTTGAAAAACATCTCTTCAAATCCGGTTGAACATTGTATTCATGTTAGGTTCAAAGAGAATAAAAAATTCCTGTCTAATTTAATAGAGTTGTTGTTAAATACCTGCAAATAAATACGGATATCAATAGAATTTAGAACTTGTTCAAGTAGACTGAGAACATTATCATTGGAAATTTTTGCTGCTGAACTATAATTCTGTCTATCCTTTGGATTTACATCTGAACGAACAAGTCCATGATCGAATTTTGAGAAGTTGTCGATAAGATAAAGAAGAGGATCAATATTAATTAACTGAGTACCGAAAAGAAGTGTTGCTTTTGTCGAAAGAAGTCGATTTCTAAGTTTAGTACAAACATGAGTTGCATCCTGCATACATACAAATAGTATTTCGTGCTGCATGAAAAACCAAGACCACGTCATTGGAAGATCAATTGAAAATAAATCTGGATGATCAACGAAGGCAAAATGTGCAAAGAATCCTAGTGTTGCTTTCATAGCAAGTAAATACCGAATGTCGCAATCACTTGAAAAACCTATGATGCGAACATCTTTTTTTTGGATTCTTGATAAATATGATGCCAACGAGATAAAACATCTGCTGTTGTAAACTTGCCGTCTGTTCCGAAAGCAGCAAGTAGATAAGGCGAGATATGGTTGGATGAAGATGAAAGCGGTTGAATGACAAAAGCGTTTAATGATTTAGTTGATGATAAAGTCGAAGTGCAACATTCGAAACGAGCGAATGATTCTGTCGAGAATGAGTCAGCAACAGGAATTCCATTAGCATCGAGTGGACGTGCAAAACCAATGAATGGATTTGACAAAGTATCATATGTAATTTTTGGAACAACTGCTGTACAATCTTCAACACAAAAACCTAATGTTGATTGATTTAAATTAAAATGATCACGAATGCGATTATAATTAAATAATCCTTCAATTAAATGGTTTTCTGAAGCAGCAATATACGATTGAATGATTTGTACACTTGGAAGAAGTGCAGGAATATTTAAACGTAAAAAATCATATGTTGTACGACCTCCAAGAATATAAATGCTGGCTGCAAATTGTCGAACAATATTATCATAGCGGTAACCTCTTTCATCACTGATTAAATTGTTGAATATATTCTTTAAAATAATATTTAAAAATGTTAAATCAATTTTGCTGGACATAATGATTTTTTCATAGGTAATAATTGTTCGAATAAATGGAAATCTTTGTAAAACATCATTAGAAATAATTACATCAGATGAAGCAAAGCAATTGTGATGGAGGTTAGCAATTGAATACTGTTGATTTAGAGTACGAAGAGAACGAAGAAAATTTTCAACCTTGTACATTATTCCTTTCTTCAGCATATAACTACCATCATTAAGATAAATTCCTGCTTTTCTCTTCAATTGAATGAGATCGTCTGAATCAAGTTCTAAGAAAGCAAAGATGTTGTTGATCTCAAGAAGACATTCAACCGATGAGATATCTTGTGCTTTCATAACCTCAAGAACCACACTACCACATTGTTCTTCCACCAAATTATAAAATGCGTCATTGCGAAACGATAGAACTTCTT